ATTCCACATTTCCATGAGCCCCCAGCTAACATGATGATAAGTTTTTGTCACTCAAAACCATATGAGCCCTAAAGTCTCTTAGAATTCTAAAATTAGATGGTTCTAGGGAATGAGGTATGCTTCGACTATAGTTTATTATAGTTGAAATACTTGTAGCAAGTTGGTGGAAGCAGTATGATGAAGTCTGCTATTCTGGACACTTAATCTTTGAAACATTTGATAATTTATCAAAGGAATTAAGAGAATACATTAGACTTTAAATATCCTAATATCTTAAGTAGAATTTCTGCTGTTTTGAGTGGTACAATAGGTGTGAAAGAATTGACAGGAGCATTTAAGGAGAAAAAAAACCACGTATTTTGTAAACAAACCTGTCAGAGGTACAATGCTTATAGACACTTTTTTTTTAGTTTTAATTAGGTTAATTAGAATCAGGGTACAGCCCAGGGTCAGAATCATCAAAGACAAGTAGTCATGTTAAGGGAACAAGTTACTCACTCAACCAATATTTACTGAGAGCTAATGGAGTAGAAAAACTGGGTCCAGGATCCAGAGCACATATATTCCTCAGTCCTGATTGGCATGGAGGCAGGGAAATGAAAGGCAGCAATATAAGATATTGAAAGAACAGTAATATGAGGTCACAAAGTTTAGGTCAGTAGTCCTAGTGGTCCAAATGTGATTTGGCAGATGAAGCATAGAGTTCTTTAACTCATTGGGTCTCAAAATTCATTTGCATCACCTGAAGAGTTTGTTAGAACACAGAAAGTTGGGCCCCTCTTTCACAATTCCTATTTAAGTCTGGGGCAAAGTTTTAGATACTGCATTTCCTTACAAACCATCTTGTAAGATCTGTATCTCTATCTATGTATCTATGTATTTATTATATTAGTATGGTTCCTTTTAATGTGAAGAACATAAGGTTCATTGTGGTTAATATGCCAAATGAAGGTAAGGGCTTATTTCTGTTAAAAGAATGAGACTTTTTTTTTCAGTGTTATGGGAGGAAAGGTTATTTAAAATCTTTTTTACTCTTTGTTCTGATTCCATAATAATCAAGAACTTTTTGGATATGCAATGAGGCTTACTGAGAAAACCTATCTTACAGAAGTTCCTGTGTCTTATGTAAATCCATTTGGATCATGTATCATGGAAGAGTGCCTTGGCTGTCTTGTTTAAAAAACACCTACTTGGGGCACCTGCGTGGCTCAGTTGGTTAAGCATCCAACTTCAGCTCAGTTCACGATTTAGCGGCTCGTGATTTCAAACCCCACCTCGCTCGGGCTCTTTGCTGACAGCTCAGAACCTGGAGCCTGCTTCATGTTCTGTGTCTCCCTCTTTCTCTGCCCCTCTCCCACTCATGCTCTGTATTTGTCTCAAAAATAAATAAACATTAAAAAATAATAAAAAAACACCTACTTGAATCAATACAAAAATTGTGGTATGCTTCCCAATAATAAAAGAAAATGACTTACTGATACATGCAACAATGAATAAACATCAAAGACATTATTGTGAGCAAAAGAACTTGCACACGATATACTTACTGTGTGTTTCTATTTGTACCAATTTCTAAAATGTACCATGATATTTGTGAGACTGGTGCTTAGCAAGGGCTGGTGATGGGAAGGACTCTGAACTCTCAGACGTGATGAAAATGTACTGCAGCTAAATAGGCAGAGAGATTACATGGGTATATCCTTTTGTCAGTTAATTTCAATCTGTGTAAATTTTCTGTGTAAAAATAGCAAGTGGCACTGTGGGATGTGAGAGATGTACAGACAACACAAAACATAAAACTAGAAATGTAGATAGTTAAGGAAGCCAGGTGAGGCATATGGAAAGTTCATTATGCTATTCTGTTTATTATACATACATATATTAAAAAACAAAACCACACACTTGGATTTTTATTATTCCATACCCTTCTTTAGAACTTAATTATCCTTAGATTAGTTAATAAAATAAAATTCCTAAAACTGGAAAAAGAAGTGCTTTTAGATTACTTCCTCTAATAATCATTTACCTAACTATAATGTAGGGTATTAAGTCAGATACTTTTATTCACTTTGAACAAATATTTATTTGTAGTTTTTATTTACAATTCACAACCTGCCTTCTCCTCTTCCCTCTCTTCCTCCCCACAAAATTGAGGAGGGTTGCATTACATTTTTTAAAAATGTGACCCAAACCCCAAGATACGGAGATCTTAAGACAATTGCAGGAGGAAGGGATAAGTGAATCAGAAGCCAGTGGAATAGGTCACTACAGTTCATGAGAGCTTCTCAGCAACCAGAGAAAAGAGAGAAAAGGGTTGAATCTTTTCATTTTCTTTGTTTTATAGAGATTAACATGTAAAAGAAAAAAAAGAGACCCTCCCCCGGCCACACATATACACTGGCATGATATTTGTAAAGGAATTCTTCATGTGAGTACATTAAGAATAGAGTAATATTATTTATTGCATTTGTATTTTGTTATTGGGCCTAAGAATTCTGACTTATAATTTTGCCCCAAATGGTCAGTTATTTCATCTTTGTTTAAGAATGTAGGCAGCAAGTGTGATTACTCACATTATAAAAATGCTTCTGTAAGAAGGATTCTAAAGGAATGATGGAAGTAGAAAATCATGATTTAGCAAATACCACAGAAATAATTGTAACAAACAAGAGTCATTGATGAATGCTGTTATTTATGAGGAAAGTACAATAAAAAAGAGGATATTTAGGTATCCTTCTAGTATCTTCCCAGAAGATATCCATGAATTACAACGGGGAAAAATAGTACCAATACAGGAGAGAAAACTGGCAAACACCAGTTTGAAACACATAGTTTTCATAACCAAGGGATAAAAGTTAATAGCATGGGAAATGACGCATATCCGCAATATGTACCTCCTCACATAATACACTGAGGAGGGCACACCATCTCTTCTGCAGTATTCCTGCCAAAAACCTATAACCACAATTCAATCATTAGAAAATATTGGACAAACTCAGTTGAGAGATTCTACAAAATAAACTGCCAGTATTCTTCAAAGGGTCAGGGTAATAAAAGAGATACTGAGGGATTATTTCAGATTGGAGAGGAGTAAGGAGACAAGGTAACTGAAATGTAGCATGGAATTCCAGACAGGATACTGGGTCAGGAAAAAAAAAAAGTCTATAATTAGTTAACAGCACTGTATCAATGCTAATTTTATGGCTTTGGTACCTGCATAATATTATGTAAGATGTTAATACGAGAGAAAGCTGGCATTAAATTACACAGATTTTCTAAATTCTCTATTTAAAATTGTTTGAGAGTTGAAATTATTTCAAAGAAAATAAGAGAAAAGAAAAAGGGGGAAAAAAAGCATTCTGAGATTGCCTGAGAATCTGACCAACATTTTGCTAGATAATACCGGATTCTAATTTATGAAATGACTGGAGCCAAAAACAATGTTAAGAGCAAATGGGGGTGATTGAGCAATTTACCAATTTAAAAGGAGTATTCATAAAGTAGCTTTGCGATAGCATGGCTATCACCAAGAGTGATAGCATCACCAAGAGTTAGCCTCCACATGTACACGCCTGATGCTGAGCTGTAACAGCCCAGGGAAGTCAGAGCATTTGTAAATGGGAGAGGTGGAATGACATTTTTGGTGATGCCTAGAAATTGTAGATGGGCACTTCCTAATTTTAATTTCAAAATTCTAACAATGAGACAATAGACTGTAAAAACACAGATCAATAAGGTCTCAAGAAAAATTCTTAAATAGATTATTTAAAGTGTACGTGGGAGGACAAAGCAGTCACCAGTAGACCTAACACAATTTATAAATTATAACTCATATTTGACTTGATAGACTTCTTTCTTGGAGAGTTACTGATTAAGCAGAGAAGTTAATACAGATAGAGAGAGGATAACTGGACTGGAAGAAGATAATTAGAATGTTCTTTGTGATGTTTTCTGGAAAACAGGGAGAAATTTTGGCAAAATACGTGAATTATTACATGAAGTTTTTGTTACTTTATTTATTTTTTTTTTAATTTTTTTTTCAACGTTTATTTATTTTTGGGACAGAGAGAGACAGAGCATGAACGGGGGAGGGGCAGAGAGAGAGGGAGACACAGAATCGGAAACAGGCTCCAGGCTCTGAGCCATCAGCCCAGAGCCCGATGCAGGGCTCGAACTCCCAGACCGCGAGATCGTGACCTGGCTGAAGTCGGACACTTAACCGACTGCGCCACCCAGGCGCCCCAAGTTTTTGTTACTTTAATTACTGGCAGTAGTGTCATGGCTAATGGGTTACTATCACCCTGGAAGAAGGTTCACAGAACTTCTTCTTTGGCCAAGTCTGTATTAACGGACTACTTGTTAATACACTGGACAGAAATTCAGTGATGCAGGAAGCACCTGCCAAAATCACAGGTGTCTTCTCTCTACCACATGACCTCCCCAATAACATGAACACAACTTATTGAGAAAGGGAAGGATATTTGATGCAAAGATGGCCATCTCTATGCCACCAGTGACTGATCCCTTCCTTTAGGGAGCCAGACAAGTCGTTCATATTAACTCCATTCTTCTCCAACATTATTTCCACTACTCACTCAAGACCATGTGTAACCCTAGACTCAGTACTGAAAGTAATTACAGACATCCGAAAGCAGCAGCTATTTCATCCTTCTAGGTATTTTTATGTTTTCCACTATTTGGAGTGCCTGTCCCACAGAGTATTAATTTATCTTTAAGTCAATCAATAATAATATAAAATTATGTTTTCTCTTTGTTCACAATACTGCAATTTACCCAAACATCTATTACAGACTTCCAAAAGAGTTTTATTCCAACAAAGGTAGCCTATAATTTGAGCAGATAAAAAAAAAATCATTTTTTAAATATGGGTGGTAAGAATTTTCCAACTTTGCCATTCCTTGATTAATTTAAGTGGTATGTACTCATAAATTACAACCTGTAATAGTTAAGAGGATAATAAAGATTAACAACACACTTACCCACACTTGGATAACCAGGCGTAGAAGGGTCTCCTCCTGGGTTCAGTGACACCATGAAGGTATCATAGCTAAGATTTGCAGTCTTTGGTAAATCACAAGGATCAATATATAGAAGAACACCACCAAATCCAGCCTTTTCCAATAAAGAAAGCTAAAAGAGGAGAAAAAAAAAAAACTATTAAAAATATCAGATGCAAATATCTACTGTCCTGAACCTTCCTGAGGGCCCCCACTATACCAGTCACTCTGATCTCTGCCCTGGGTGGGCAAACCAGATCTCCCAGATATAGCAACTGAGGAATACAAGGAACTAAGGGGCCTCCCTCTGAATGGTGAGTTCCTGCTCTGTCTCTGTCACTAAGGATTTTGAAAGTAGTTCCTGAATGGGGTAGCTAAGTGGCTTAGTTGGTTAAGCATCTGACTCTTGATTTCAGCTCAGGTCATGATCTTGCGGTCCATGAGATGAAGCCCTATGTCAGGCTCTGGGTTGACAGTGTGGAGCCTGCTTGGGATCTCTCTCTCCCTCTCTTTCTGCCCCTTTCCCTAATCTCTCTCTCTCTCTGTCTCTCTCTCTCAAAATAAATAAATAAACTTAAAAAAAAAGAAAACAATTCCTGACTACTTCATTTGAAACATATCTAATGCAGATTCTTCTCTCTTCTTCAGTAAGTATGATGGGGAGGATGAACTTGACATTTCATGTTCTTTTTGTTTTAACTTGGTAAATTAATTTTTTGGGGTAAAGAGCTTGTATACTTTAGGGTGATTTACCTGATGTGGAAAACAATAATCATAATTTGCTAATCCATTTGTTTCTCCTGAGAGGGGAAAGGTACTTAGGGGACACTGGGGAAAGAAATGATGGAGATGATGGCTAGGAATCACATTAAGTGTAGGCAGTTGCAATTCACTGTGTGACTCTAACTAACACTTGTGCTTCACTTCTCAATTACTGCTTCTCTTGTTTATTTTTACAGTGGACTAAGCAATACAGTAGCTTGTGGATCTGGCTGGACCCCACCATGAGGACAGAATCATGCTTATCTTCTCTTCCAAAGTTCACTTGCACTTAGGGGGCACATAGTAGACATTCAAGAGTGTCGCTAAATGAAAGAACGAATGAGAAAGATGCTGGTTTGGCATGGCAGCTACTCTTGAAAAAAGAGAACTCTAAGAAAATACTTAGGATGTGCTTCTATTGGAAAAATAAAACACAATTGTACCTACAATATGGTTTTTACATAAAAGAAGTTATAGTAGAAAAATAAAAATACTTGATGTAAGTACATCACATTCATGGCATTTTTTCAACTCCTTTAAAAATATTCTGTAATTTCCCATTTTTGAATAATGGACAAGTAAATATTATTTTAATTAATACATATTATATTAAACATACTTTATTATCAATCAGAAAAAAATAACCCTGATACCCTAAGCAAAGAATGTTTGACTCACATGTTGAGTCATGTTTTTCCTATCAGTGCTTTAATGAAAAGGGAGAAGAATTTAGGGAGGGGGGAGAAATGAGAAAAGGAAAAAAGAGCAAAGAACATGTTGATAAGAAGGCTGGATTTAAGACTGACTCTGAAAAGCTCACACTGAAGTCCTTAGGGAGGGTTTCTAATGTTTAGATGCTGAAATTGCTATTTCTAAAAAAAATGATCAATGGAAATTTTGAATGTTCTGCTTACTATAGGAGAACATATTAAGAAAGAAATATGAACAACTCCAGAAAACAATTTCTAAGTATTAAAAATTACTTTAAAAAAATTAAGTAATTCATGATCACTAGACAAAAAAAAGATACAGGCAAATAGTAACAATCCTATTATCCTATCTGTCAAAAAGTAGTAAATGTTAATATTTCTAAACTCTTTTATTAGGGCTTAGGCACATATACACATATACTTACAAAATAAGACCACTTACCATAAATTTTGCAACCTTTCTTTTTTTTCTCATCATACCATATACTAAATATTGGTCCATGCTGATAAGTACACTTTCATATAACATTAATAGTTGTACACTGTATATATGTGAATGCTATAAATAATACAATAATAAGATGTAGAAATGCTGCCAAATGTTATTTAACCAATCCTTGACTGTTATTTACATGAAATTTAACTTTTTGTATCATACTTCAACAAACTTCCTTATAGCTAAATCATTGCACAAATGTATATTTTCATGAAATATATTTCTACAGAAAGAATTTGTAGGTGAAAGTATTACTATTTTTTATGATTTTCGATAAAATATTTTCCCTCCAGAAAAGCTATATATAACTAGCTACATTCTTACCAGTCATATATCTGAGTACTTATTTCCTCCATCACCAGCATTGAATATTACTTTTTAAGAAATATTTGCCAATCTAGCCAAAAATTTACCGTCCATTTTTTAAAAATTACAAGTGACGTTAAATTTATTTTTGCTCATAATTTTGGTCACTTGCATATTTTCTGAAGAATTACCTGATAGTGAAAATTTTTGTGATTCTTGGGGTACTTATCCATTCACAACTATATACTGAATGTCACTTTTGCACATAATATGCTGGTATTGGCATATGGAGATAAGTAGGACAAAGTGCCTGCTCTTAGGAAGTCAGTTAACCAGTGGAATGATTAATAGTTTTCATCTTAAGTGTTAACCCCAATTAACTGGCAACTAGTGGCTGCCTGGGGAAGCATTGCGAGGCCAAGTTCAGGGTCAGTGAAAAGTGGAAAATAGCTCTATGAGAGATGTCTGCCATGGACACAAGAAAGGCAAGTGATGCTCCACATTTTTTGGTTGTTGTTGACCCTGCTTCAGTGGGATAGTCAAATTATCTTCAAAAAATCTCTTTTAAAAAGGTCAATACATTAACTATTTGACTGCTTAAACTTTATGACACCTCGTGACTTAGAATTTATCATAGTCAAAAATAAAATGCTACAGTTGCATATTTTGCTTCTTGTGCTTATGACTGGTAATACATTGTGATTTCTTTTATAATCAATATATACCATGATATTTTTCTATACTTGACAGCTTATAATGAAGCTATGTAGTTTAATAGTATAGTATCTCTTGCCAGAGTTGATTACCTCCCTACAACCCTGAAGAGATAGCCTTATATGTGATTTTATCCCCTCTTCCCATCCTCTGTCTGTAATGGTTGGACCTGAGGGGGACAGGTCTTCAATGTTGTCAAATCTGGTTCATGATGCTGTCCCTTTCGGGCCACCACAGAGCTCCTAAATAAGTAACTTGGTGGCCTAGTTTCAGAAATTATTACGGGATTTCCAATGAAGTTGGCAATTGAGGAAACTGCCTATATTAAATCAAATAACAAATGTTCCTCTACATTGTTAGAAATGCATTTTGAACATGGTGAGGTAGTGGTTACCTAAAATATTCAAAGGATCTACTCTTCTAGTGAGATCATATTCTTTAAAAATGCATTCAAAGGCAAGTCAATATAAAAAGGAGTAAGCTAAGCTGTCACTGGGTTGTCTGCTTTTGACTGTCCCTGGGAGCACAAGTAGAAGGTATTAGCCCTGCCCAGAACCCTTCATACTTTTAGATCACTTGAGACCTAGGATGATTCTATGGGGGGTCTAATTCATGAAAAGAGAAGGCAAATGTAAAGCTAAGATTTCTTAACACAGAAGTTTGATTATCTTTTGTTTCTCTCTCTCAAGTATATTACGTGATAAGTTTAGCGTTCTTCATCATGTTTTCTACCTTGTAAACTAAGACAGTATTTGACATAAGAGGGAGACACAAAAAATGAGTCAAGCAAATGGCCCTGAGCTCAAGTGTTACAAGGTCATGAAGAAGCAACTCACAGCCACAGGCTAGAATAGTGTACTGAGCCATCAGTCTGTATCACCCTGCAAGGGCACCATTTCCTAATTTACATAAAATACTATAGGAACACATTTCCATGAAAGTAGAAATCATTAAATCAGCCTCCTACCCTTTTATTTAGCTCAAGGACTTACTAAGTCTTTGGTGCCTGAGATACGGGCTGGGCTAGTAACTGAGAAATGGTCCCTAGTCTACCCTGGGACACTTCGGTTTCTATATGCAGAGTCAGTCAACTCCCTTCAAGCTAGGTCATAATTCGACCAACAAACGAGACATTATTTGAAGCAATTATAGTCCTCAAAGTAAAATTTTATTGTATTTAACTTTTTTAATGTTTATTTTTGAGAGAGATAGAGCATAAGCAGGGGAAGGGCAGGGAGAGAGGGAGACACAGAATCCAAACCAGGCTCCAGGCTCTGAGCTGGCAGCACAGAGCCCAGCATGGGGCTTGAACTCACAAACTGTGAAATCATGACCTAAGCTGAAGTTGGATGCTTAACTGACTGAGGCACCCAGGTGCCCCTACTGTATTTTTTATCTACAGGAATTAATAAGGATTTTAGTAGCACTAGATTGTGATCTGCTTGAAGACAGGAATGCTGTAGCTTCAATTTATATCCCCAGTGCCTAGAATAGTACCTGCTACCAAATGATTTTTCTCTTTTTAAGTTAATGAATAAATTAGTGTGTGTATCAATGAATGAACAAATGAATACACAGTGCATATGGGTACAAGTGTATTACATGAATATTATTTTGCTCTACATTTCACACCCACTGGCTGGAAAACATGCAATACATTTTGTGGCAGCTTGGATATACATGTGCTGGAATGTGAGTAGAAGTATTAAACCAGCTTATTTCTGAAATTAACACACACACACACACACACACACACACACACACTCAATTAGATGTTATGCTTAAACTTCCATAAAAATACATAATTAAAATAGAATTATTTTGTTTTGATTTTTGTGTTATTTCATTTTATGTTTTGTTATCTAAGAGTAGAGACAAGGAGTGTTAGAGACTAGCACACTAGGATTTGAACATGTGAGTTTGTCTTGTTGACAGGGTCTTGCAGATAAAATGTCTTTGGCTAACTTCAAGGAGGCTGATCCCATATTTCTTTCTGTGAAACATATTAATACATTTCTCCTTGTGTGTAGTGTATAAAGCTAGGTCTTAACAGTTGCCAAATAATTGCTTCTGAAATAAATGGTACTACAAATCCACGGGCAGGATATAGCAGCCTTATTGAACAGATCTTACAAATCTCAAAGC